ATATATATAACAAATACAAATAAATAAATATCAAAGTTTGGCTAAATTTAGCAAAAACACATTTACATGTAGGAAAACGTGCCACGGTCTGATGAACTTTTTAGTTATAATTTGATAAGGTATGTTTGATGCAAACACAACACTGCACATCCACAGAAGCACGGAGGTGGCAGGATCATGCTTTAGGGCTGCTTTTCTTCAGCTGGGACCGGGACCCTAAACAAGGCAGAAGGAACTGTGAACAGTTCCAAATACCACAAGCTTCAGGCTGCTGACAGAACGCTGAAGATGAGGAGAAATGACAATGACCCAAAGCGTACATCCAAATCCACCAAAAGATGGATTCACAAGAAGAAGAGTGAAGTTTTGACATGACGCAGCCAGAGTCCAGACCTGAACCCTGTAGAAAATCTCTGGGATGATCAGAGGAGGGCTGTGAACAAGAGATGTCCTCAGAATCTGACAGATTAGGAGCGTTTTTATAAATAAGAGAGGGTAATTATTGTCAAATGGAGACGTACCACTTTGGTAGATTTCCCAAAAACACTGTGCTGTAAGAAAGTCTGACGGTGCTTCTCCTGTTCAGGGAAGCTGTGATAAAACGAAGATTCAAGACAATGTGTTGGCCTTTTTACACTCATAACTTTTACTAACTTGTAGACATTTTATAAACGCAATAAAAAAGGAAAACTTTTACTAACTTTATGAGTGTGTAAATATTTCTGCACAGTACCTGAGACAACTTCTTACGAAAAACAATTTGAATTGGATTGAACCAGTTTATAGTGAGAACTGTTGATGTAAAGAATCACCTGGACTTCAAAAATTGAAGCAAAAAAACATTTTATGTAAAGTTTTGTTGAACTATTTGTCTTTACATCATCTTCATTCTTGTCTCAGCTGTTGTTCAGCTGTTGTCAGCCTGACATTTGTCATGCTGTTAGTCCTGAAAATGTCCGCTCAGTTTTAAATTGAAACATCGTCTCTGGTTGATTTATTCAAGCGGTCTTGTGAGCAGGACGTTCACCAGGAGCACGAGGAGCATCAGCTGATGGCTGCAGCTGACTGGCAGAGCACCACTCTCTCTGCTCTCCCAGTGTGCACCCTGCTCGTCCTCCCACTCTGTCCTTCTCCTCTCCTGTTCGTCTTCCTCCTGCTTCCTCCGTGGCTCGTCGTCCTCCCTGACTTTGTTTAGGCTGTCGCAGCCGTCTCCCTCATGGCCTTCGTAGCAGTGGCAGCGGAATCTCTCAGTCAGCAGCTGCAGCTCCTGCGGCGATGGCCAGCCGGTGACGGTAAAGTCTCCATCGCCGGAGGCCTGGATCTGGTAGCTGTCGGCGCTCAGGTGGAGGTAATGGTGGGCGTGGGGGTCTCGCCGAACGCAGCGGCCGTTGCTCTGACACAGGAAGTCGCTGCAGACTTCAGCAGCCCGGGTCACGTTGGTGATGTACTCACCCAGACGGTGGCTCAGGAAAGATTTCACCAAAGTGCAGTTATGCTGTGAAAAAAACCCAACAAACGAATCAGTCTGATGCTTCATCTCAACACAACCAGCCCTCTGTAAGTGATGTATTTAGAACTTCATGGTTAATGAAATTCTGATGGTATATTCTGTGTGCAGACACATCTTTAGACAACGTGCCGCTGAGCTCAGAGCTTTAGCTGCACCATGTGGTTTTGGAGTGACGGACAGCTCACTGTGCTGTGAAGGTTACAACACTGAACAAAGCTCTAACTACAGGTCAGGTGGAGGCAGCAGCTAAAATCACCTCCTGTAATAAAGTTTGTGAATTTACCTGGTCTGCCTCATTTACTACAATTGCTACAATGAGCTTAAAGCTCACCAAACCATTCATAAAAATGAGTTAAAGCTCTATCATGCGAAGAAGAAGCCATATGAACATCTTCTCTGAACCAGAACTCATTTGGTCAGATGGATCAAAATTAGATTTTTTTAAAGGGATCCCCGATTAGTTGTAACATTAGACTTTATTTTATAAACATATATTTTAACTGTAAAATAAAGACTGTAAAAATACTGTAGGCTGTTTAGTTTTGTAAATATTTAAAAATATATTTTAACACAGACGGAGCC